AGAAAAATAAAATAAGAACTATAAATGCAAAAAATAGGAAGGGGAGTATAGTGCTTCCTTGTACGAACTCGAATATCATTTGTAAAAAGAAGCAATCTAATCAGGAGCTCTAATTTCTTTAGTTTGTTTGTCGGTAATTAGAATGTTCTGTAGCACGGAGCGAAAGTTTGTTAAGATTTGAATTCAATATCTAAAATATTAGATGCATAATTGTTTCCTTTTGAAAGAAAAGCCTATGAATTTTTAAACGAGTGCATGTTTAGCAATTCCATATCATTTCTATAGAGTAGATTATTGCAACCTAGATTCTTACATCAATTTTATATTTTAATTTATACTAACAATAAAAGGGAGAAAAAAACCATTTAACAAGATTCTAATTCTCTTGTCTCCGTGTTAATTAGATATACTGCTGATGACAGTGGATATTTCTCATAAGAGAAGATGGTTTTTGTCGTTGTGAGATTTTTCAGATGGATTCCACAGATTGTCGTGCAGAGGCGACTTTAGGGGGAGGCTACTAAAGATAGGACTTTAGGCCTTATAATATTTAAAGCCTCATTTTTTGGATAATATTAATTATAATTATTTTTTGAAATTTTTTTATAATAATAATCATTGAAAAATAATAAAAAAAGGTATACTACCATAAATATTTTGATATGTAAATTATGTAGTATTTTAGATAAAATTATTTGTATCGAAATTATTAAAATATTTTAATAAAACTTTTATTTATCGAAATTTAACTATTGAAAGACGCCAAATTTAAATTTTGTTTGAGGCCTCAACAAGCATTGAACCAGCTTTGGTCCAGCGATGAACCTTCTGAGGTACTGAAAAATGTGATCATAATATATATTTGCGAAATGGAAAATTCAGATAAGCAAAAACTAGATGGTGAGATTTCTGATGATATATACTGCTATTTGTCAATCATATGTAGACGAGGTCGATGATGATTTGGCATATGAAGTTCTCGAGGACCCGGTGGAAAGTTGGAAAATTAAAACTTAAAATTATTGTCTAGTTTTGATTTTTATTTTTAGTTTAATTTGTACTAAAACTAAAAATTTAAATAAGATAATAATTTTAGGACGGAAAGAGTATATGGAAATAAAACTACAAAAAGACAAGCATAAATGGGGTGATCATTTCGTGATTATCATTTATTCGTGAAAATATGTCCACTTCATGCACGTTGATCTTGACAAGGATTATGGGTGATCATTTTCCGGATGGCGACGACAACGAGTCAACGACGATGATGAAGAAGAAGAGAGGCCTAAAACGCTTATGTCATAGTTATCAAATCGTGATACGTATCGTGTATCAGAAACCTAAATTTATGATACGCGTATTGTATCGTGTATTGAATCGTAAGATACGTTTTAATATAATAATATATACAAAATAAATAATAAATGTAATAACTCCATATGTAATTAATATATTTATAACTTTTTTTATTTTTCAGTTATAATCAAATAAATTGATTAAGTTGAATTCAAGATTATCATAAAACTACACAAATTACTCATACATTGTATGAATATTGGTCATAGAACCTATGTAATAAAGATTATTTTTTAAAGTAGATGTTATTATAGCCATAAATTTGATAGTGAGAAAATTAAATTAAACTTGTATTACATTTATTCAACATGTTATTAGTTATACATGATTTAGAAAATGATACTATAAATAAAATAATATTTAAATATTTTATTTTAATTATTTTATTTTTTAAACTAAAATAATTTATTAAGAAACTTTGTTGTCAATTCAGAAAGATTATGTTTGTGAAAGTAATAAATCAAAAGTATCTATTTAAAAGAAATTGTAATTGAAATTTTCTCATAATTTGAAATTTAAATGGTTATTATCAAACAAAAATTTGAATTCTTTAAGAAAAAAAGTTATTATTTACCTATGTTTTTTTATTGTACGATACACAATCGTATGTGTATCATATGTATCGTACGGTACGTATCGGAAATTGACTGATACACAAACGATTGTGATATATATCATGATACGTATCGAAATTCTTAATTTTGATACGTATCATACGATACTTATTACTATGGCTCAAGTGCTTAGATATTTTTGTCTCGAAAAGAAAGTCAATTTACGTAATTTAATGCCTAATAATGGGGTAAAAGAAACTCATGCTACGACTTGGGATTTTTCCTACAAGGTTTAGACAAGTGATGAAGACTAGTCCTTTCTGTTAGTTTTAGAAATTCCTTAATAGTTGATTGCATTTTTTATTGTTAATAGTGTCAAGTCATTATTTCCTGTTTAATTAAACCTTTTTTTTCATTTTAAAAGATTTTCTTTTTTCGAGTCATATTTTTTACGATTAAACAAAAAAGTGATGGTTTTATAATAGTGTCCGATGTACTTGTGGTTTTTTGTTGTCTTCATGAGACATTGGGAAAGAGTTCATGTAACTTGTTTCTTGCTGAAGAAATTGGTGTGGAAAAATAATATTTATATTCAATATTTGTTACTCTTTGCTGTTAGCTAAAAGGTTGTAAAAGATGCCTACTATAAATTCAAGTATTCATTTCAATGAATATTAGATTTGACTTTGCTAGTGTATCTATAAAATGTGCAATCAGGCATGGTTAAGAGGATCGTCAATTTACGAAATCTGAAGTCATGATTTTCTGTTGGATCATCCAAAAAAACACAAAATATAAAATGATAACATTTACAATATAAAGCTATACAAATAAAAAATACTACTCCCTCCGTCCAAAAAAAATAATCCTTTTTAAGGTTTGGAATTTGTACTAAAAACAGTAAAAATTCAATGTGAACTATTTTTTTTGGACGGAAATAGTACTTAATTGTGCAAAATATCAATTTTACTATAAAGAAAATCACCAACAAAGTAAGAAATCATAAACATTTTTTGTTATGTGGAGAGCCAGTTGCTGCTGTGACACAACTTAAATACACAATCACTGATCTCGCCACCATAGAAATGATTAAACAAATACTACCCTTCTTCTCCCTTCTTCCTTTTTTTTTCCCCCTTTTCTCCATTTGGGCTCAGTTTTTAAGAACACAAAAAGAGGTACTATTTGATTGGTAGTGTGACAAAGGAAGCTGCTGCCGACTCATCTTTTCCTTCGTCTTAAGTAAGGTACGAAGGGTTCTTGTTTCCTCGTACAATCTCACGGTCCGAATAAGTAACCAATATAATGTTATGGCTTCACGTGGATCACCACCGCCCTTTACTTGATTTAACCTCTCTTTTTAATTTTCTTTTTTTTTTTTTTTCCATTTTCCTTAATCTATAAATAGGATGGATCGGATACCAAAGCCAATAGGGACGATGATTGCATGGGAAGAAAGCTGGTTCAAAGAGGCAGTATTTTCCGGCCAGAACTCGCAAAATCTGTTAAAGTTACATAAACTCTTCTTATTGACTATCTGCATTCATTTTGTTACTGTTTCTTCATCCGTTCTCTACAGTATATTTTCTTTTGTTTTCCTTTTGACCCCCCTTGGATCTGTTCCATCAATTTCATCTGGCAAATCTTGGATCTATTATGCTTTGGTTTTCACTTCATCCTCCTCAATGTTGTAACTTCTAGTGTAAATGTTACATGTAAAAGGGCTTCCATTTCTTTGTTTTTGGGCCATGTCCTTGCAGCTGCATTCGGGGAATTCTGGAATCTCTATGAAACGTTTCAACTTTCAACAGATAAAGCATAAGTGTAACTATTAATGGAGGGCTGTCGAGTCGAGTCTAATTAGTTTGAGTTCGCGTGTCAGTAAATCGTAATTAGATCCGAGTGAATGCAGTTCGTTTATGCGGGTTAGAATTTATTCTTCAACTTCTCAGAATGCTGAGTTAAAAATTGAAACAGAACTGTTGACATGTGGAAAATGTGACATTAAATCAACAGAAGAAGAAGATATTGAATAATGTATCATGATTTTCTGCCATGACATTTTTCATATCTATCTGGATTCTGAATGATTGCGATTGTGTACTACTCACAGGATCCATGTTGACACGTTGTCTGAAAGAAGCTCCAGTTGGGTCATTTTGGAACCCAACATTAAAGCCAGTAAGCAAATTTCAGAGTTGTTAAATGACTCCTTTCTTCATTCTCTTCTCATTCCACATGTACCTTGGAGGAGGAGAAGAGCACAGGCCTTAGCTGCTGGAAATCAAACTCATCCCTACATTGGATTTTTAGGGTTTAGGATTTAAACAACATTCTTTCATTTGTGTTGTTCTGTCCAAATGTAGATGTGATTTGGTGATTGGTCCAATTTGGCCTTCCATTTTTTAGTACAAAGTATATTGCAAATGGAATCCGGACAATCATTCTGGGAAATACTAGTCACTATAGTCTGTAGGTCTCCTCAAATTCATGAGTTCTTTTCCATTCTCTTTTTTTGTCTTTTCCCACCTCTAACAAGCTTGATTTTCATTTTTCAGGGTGAATAACAGGTATTGTAGGACTTTGTGAAGTAGGAACCATGTAGCCAACTTCCAATGCCACGACCTGTACTAAGTCGTGGAAACTAAAAATATACTTTACCAACCTTAAAAACTGATCCAGCTGCTCATGTTCTGCTTCAGTCCCCAGGCCATTGCATGGTCTAATGATCATGTATTCAACCTGCTCTTCAAAATCAGCCAGAAAATACAATGGGCACGACCATGAAAAAGGGAATAATTAGAGTCAACCGCTCTGATATCCTGTGGCACTTGCACAGTGTCGAAAACAACTAAGAAAGAAGCCGAGAAGACCTCAATCTTCATTTGGACGGGATTGCCCGAATAGTTATATTACAGACACAATCAACCAAGCTGTAGGTCTTGTCAAGCACCAATCACCTGTAACCTTAGATAAACAAAGTGATGAATTTCACCATGAGACTGAATGCTACAGGGATTATTATTAATATTTTGCCTGATATGGTGGAAAATCAAAGCTCCAATCAGCTTATAGGATGCTCTCTACTTTTCAAAGTAGGTTAAGAGCCACCTGCTGCTGCTGCTGCTGCTGCTGCTGCTGCTGCTGCCGCCGCCGCTTTGGAATCATCTCACCATCTGCAAGGTCCCTGAATTCCAGTGTAACTTCATTGCTCTTCTGCTTTGGTGAATTTCTGGCTCCATTCAGCTGCAGTTTCAATGCATATGGTAATTTCAGTCGGCAATTTTTCCAATCTTACTTTCTAGTTAGTAAAAAATTTTACCTGGTCTTGCAGATCTTTGTTTTGTTCCCTAAGCTTCTTTTCCTGTCAGGGATAACGAAATGGAGGTAAGCAAAGGATAACAGTTTCCAACGTGTTTCCCATTTCGGTTATTTACATTTGTCATTGTCAGCAAACGAGAGCACGCTTCAGGAATTGCAAATAAAGCAACCAGAACCATGGCAAGTGCAAATATCAAGGTACGCGACTGCGTGAATATTATCATTACTACTTTTGAGAGAGATCACCAAACAAGCATGGTATGACGATCTTTAGTAATCAGCTTCTGTGGTCCTGGAAACCTCAAACTTAACCTAGAGGCTCGATCCATACAGATCAAGGTCAAGGCGTGATCCACATGACCTGATTTGCAAGTGGACTAAGCCAAGTATGCGTCTCTCTCAGAATCATAATGATGGTGTAGGATACACCCAAGTAACAAAGCAATCCAGGCAGGCTGTTAATCAACCGTGTTTGATTTAAGAGTAATTTTTAAGCGACGAGATTCTGCTTAGCACACACTCTTTCATTATCCTAGTTCCTGCTGATCATATTTACTTGCATGGAAAACGTTTAATAAGAATCCGGCAGACCCAAGAGGAATACAGGGGAAATCTGAGAAAAATATTTAGAGCAGCAATGTCTTACATCTAGTGTCAGTATTATGGGTAGCATTCAGGTCTTTTCTGTTAACACCATTAAGCAATGGTTTCTGGTTTTCAAGTTATACCACCAGTCAACCGCTTTGAGTTTACTCTCAAATACGTACACTAAGCAAACCTTCCGATCCTTCATTTTTACTTAGGCATTACCATTCTCTTGGCACACATCTAAATTATACTTTAAGCTCTAATCTTCTAATAGAATTAAATAATGCATAAACTAGAAAATCAAGGATAGCGCATCCAACTTGAAACTTTCAACAGCACACATGACAAAGTGAAACAGTTGCATCTCCAAGGAGTTTCCAGAATGAATGCAAGAAGCAGCTTCCCCTTTAAAGAAAATTAACATACCATTTCAATGAAACCTGCTATGGATTGCAAGGACATCTGTGTCTGCACGAGAAAAACCCAAATCATTTCAGGATTGCCATGCCAAACAATGCATGAACAAAAATCAACTAGTAACAAATAACAGGTCAAATATGCAAGAACAAACTACGATTGCAACTTCAATCAGTCTAATCAGAAGATTAAAGGCAGAGACACTGGAATCCTTATAGACAGAAAACACTGACCATAATAAGGTACATTGGGCAATCAGGCCCCACACTTAGTTTCTATGAATGTGTATAAGATACTGTATTCGGAATCCCCAAGCCTCAGAAGGCTGCGGGTCCGTTAATATTCTTCACTGGTTGCAAATTAAACTGGTCAAAACAAAACCTTATCTCTCCCCGGAAGCTAGGGTAGCAAGAAATCACCAACCCGTATGAGGAAGTTAATTAGCTAATTAAGAAAGGTCAGCAATCGAGGATGGGTACAAGAACCTACAAATATACTCTGCTAAATGCATACTAACAGATTGCAGTCACAAGAGAATTTAGCAGTAGAAACAGATGGGAAGATTCATGATTAAGCAATAAAGTTCAGGATATTAAAATCTTGACCATACAACTAGACAGCCTTAAAATATCGTATTTATTTATTTTCTTTGTCTGATTTACTGAGAGAACAACAATGACCTTTTTAGATCTTGTTTGAGAAAGGGCATCCTCAAGTTGTTCTTCCAACTGCACCAGGCCATTCAGGTTTAGTTGATCAACATCTGGCTCCTCGAGAACCCTGCGAAAAGACCAAAAATGTTAGAAGTTACACAGGTTCAAGATGCCAGGAATGACGTTCTTGCCTTTCAACATTTTCCAGGAGCTTTCTGACTGTCGAGGTATCTTTCCCACCAGAATCACATGTATGCTGTCGAAAGTAAAACTAAATCAACCATGAAGCTTCTTAAAATGAAAATATAGGCAGTACATATCTCCAAGCTAATAGAAGTGTAGGTCAATGCAAGAAAGCGGACAATGACATGACATACACGTAAAGTAACAGTCATTCTCTGAGACTATGGTTTTATGAGCAAAATGTTGTGCATAGTAATGATAGTAAGATGTCATTTTGAGCCATATCAACCTGAAGTAATGGCCTAAGACAAACTTAGCTGCCACAAATTAGGGCTTCATATTCACAGCTTTAGTCGTAATCCACTTTGAGTGGCTATAGATTTTGATCCATGAGCCGAAGCATAGAACATCAGCTTTAAGTTGCTATAGAACATTAATTATAAGAGATGCAGAAAGTAGAAACTGCTCACAGTTTTATTTCAGTGAAACACTATATCGATGTCATGATGGGAAAGGATAATTTAACTTGTGCAAATTTATGAAGACATCAAAGCCATTAGCTATTCAATGCTAATGAACTAACCTTTGGACTTTCTCCAGAACACTTTTCTCCTTCCTCTCCTTCCAGTTGGGTGGAGCTGTGATACCGGTTAACAATTCCATTCATGCTGAAACAATAGAATATGTTAGCCGAGTCTTTAAGGTGGAAACTGCAGTCTACTTGTAGGATCAAGGAAGCGCTTCAGGAAAGGGAAAAAGTAGTGGAACGTGTGATACTTGCGATATTGAAAATACAGGAATAATTGTCGTGTAGCACATGCCACGTACGGTCATAATTCACTATATGCAAAAAGGATAGGGTTTGCTGGTACAACCTCTGATAGTTGCACAAAGGTGTAGGAATCCTCAGTAGGGCAGAGAAAACAAATTATCTGAATGTATCAACTAGGAGCACCATCCGCTAAATTAAAGCCAGAGTTTGCTGCAGGTTCATCATTGACCAAGCTAGACCCAAGTGTAGTCACTTTTTCTTTTTTTTTTTTGGGAATGAGAGTGTAGTCACTTTATGGTTACCTATTTCAGCTTTAGTACCTAAATCCTTAAATGGAACTTGCGTCATCTATAATAAAGTGACCTTATGGTGTCTACTATACTACGCTCGTGCTAATATGACACTCTTGGTTCACTTGGAATCAATCTTCTTTTCCTCATATCCGTTGGTACTTTAGAAAACTTGACATTCAACCACTTGGATCGCCACGTGCTTTTTGTACCAGTTGTCATCTACGAGACTTGGAAAACTACGAGCACTCAAACGTCGGGAAGCGTTTATGAACCAAGCCATCTTGTAAAGAGAGCAAAATTTTGAGAGGCGTTAAAGATTTTTGTACACTTGGACTTCTACAAGTTTTTGACATTTATCGTTTCACAAAAGGACCTAAGTATAACTTTTGAACTGATTGTCTTTTGTTCCCATGCAACGATGTATACTTTTGACTACAAGAGTTGATTATGGACATTTTCTTCTCTTTGCTTGTAGTTCTAGTTATTTCCTCTCACAAACTTGTATCAATTCAGGCCACGACGGTTCACAAACATGCTCCTTCTGCCGTTATTTTGATAGCAAAGTTCTCTTAAAATGATAAACTACGTTTTGCTCATTCTATTAATTGGCAGGGGTATGGCATGTTCATAATCCAACCATCTAGGATATATTATACGTATGACATATAGATTTGTGATTTTCAGGACATTTGCTCACCTCATTGAATAAGTTTAATTTCACTTTGTCTTAGATAGTTTTGCTTTCTAACAAAAGTTCAAGGTTTCTAATGTAAATCCTCTTAAACTTTTAAGTGTGATTAGATTATTCTCTCTGATAAGAAGGGCTTATCTATGACATGTGAGGCATACAAGTCCCTTCTTGCCTTACAAACTTTGATTAACTAGGAAAATGAGAGAAAGTGGTTTTATAACCAATAGTTATAATTGAGATGACTAGTGGATGAAGTAATACATTTAGTGTATCTAGTGATATGTTCTAGACAAACAATGATTGTGAGAAGGAACTTATCTAGAATAAAGTCCATACAAGAAACTCCACAACAACCAACTATGTGTTAAAATATATGATAACATATGAAAACGTATACACACCTTATTTTAGTATCATTATTACCAAATCATTTTGATGAATGAACATATTATCACCGTCATTACTTTTTAGAAATCAAACATATCTAAAAGGGAAAAGCCATACAAGTATCGCTCCTAAATTTGATGCAAGAACAACATATTATGTTTGATACAAAAAAAACTAACAATTTTTTATAAGGGTTCGACCTTAAAAAACTTTGTTACTTAATTTAGAAGTTTGATTGCATTTAAATTGAAAAAATTATGGCATATGATATAAAACGGCAATGAATGTATGAGCACGAAGTATTTTTTTTTTTCTGGTTAACATGAGAATTGATATGTTCATGACATCAAATTAATAACTGAAAAAAAAGAGTTTTTGTGATAATTTTTCCCACATTTTCCTATAGAACTCGAGGTCCACAGCATTTTTCTTCCTTTTGCAATATAATGCCTCCACCTATGCCTATTGGGTATTAATGATTAATACATCATTCAATGAGGTGGTAGCAATAAATAGATAGCAAGGAAACCACTTATCTAGTTGCGTCAAAAGTTTGATGGTGTCATCAACTAAAACCTTTTGAACATGCAAGGTTTATGATTCCAACAATCCTTACAAATAAAATTTAGATATATTTTTAGGGATTCCCCAAAGAAGAACTACCAAAATGGAATCATATATGTATCTACACACCAACACTAGAAGGATACAACTGATATTCTTTAATTTTATCTCTCAACCAATTACAATATAAATCTATATTTCTAGAACTAGATGATTTAACAACTTCGTTAGTGGGACAAATTTGTGTCTTATGTAGCAATATTTAGTATAAATGGGGAAGTTGATTTTTACTGTTGAGAATGTGGTTACGTTCTAATCATTTCAACACAATTTTCAATCATTATTATCTAGCTAAAAGTTCTTTTCCATTTGTAAAACCTATTGATGGGCAATAAAAACGAAACGCTGCTAAAGATTTATGCAAAATTTCTTAATTGGACACATTGAATCTTAAATTCTAGCCAATAGAGGACTGAAAGGATGACTTCACTAAGAGGCCCTTAATGTTGAAGAGTACCAAAGAAAGGTTTCTTTTTTTCTTTTCCGTTCTCTTTTCTTTTTAATTACATATCAAATCTTCAGTATTTTATCATGAAAAAGCATAAATTGTAAATGAATTTTGGAAGTAAAGTGAATTATTGACTAGATGATTGACCCTTAACCGCAATATGGATATATATATATATATATATATAAAATTGTGCATGTACATGTGACTAATGTGATGTGAGGTTTTTACAACCTTAGGTTGAGCAAAAGAGAAGGCCAATGATTACTATATATCGTGCATGGTTTATTTCGTCAATCTTATAAGAATATCAGTGGAGCTGTTTTGTTGGTATAATAGAGAAAATGTGTGATCAAATTACGAAGTTACAAAAGGTAATGGAGTTGTATGTTTAGAAGGGTATTGGGACCTAGTGGATAAACAAATAAAAGATTGGAAATGAATGTGGCTAGAGTGAAAAAGTCAATGCATAACAAAATTATTTGAAAAAGCCCGCCCTCTAAAATTTAGCTGCCTCCTCAAGAAAAGATCTCCTCCCTCATGTTCTGCATGAGATGGTGGGAAAATTTTTTATTTAATGTTTGTGGTCCTTTTTTTTTTGCTTTTTAGTGTTGTGTTCAACAAGCAGAACTTTCTTTAGTATATTGTGTCCTTTATTAACATAGTCCATTGAGAGTGTAGTGTTTTTTTAATAGATTATAGTTTATTGAAAAGGTATGATTTATTGATCGTAAGATTTTGGTGTCTTTGGTATTGTTGCAGGGTTGTCCGCTCGCTCATAATAATCGTTGCTTCACACTCTGCAATTCGAGAAGATTCAGTCTTTACATATCTAATGATTTGTGATGTGTCCTTGATGGGATTAAATATATGTCACGTGATGCATCTACCTAGGTATCGGGTAGATCTACTTAGGTTTATCTCTCATAAACGTAACAAAATGTTACAAGATTTTGCAAGGTGTGTTTTCAATTGTTGATTGTTGCTAAACGATCTTCAGGAAATTCATACGATAGTTATTTGTTTTGAAAAAGATTATCTGACAAAATCAATAACCTAGATTACACGATAGTTATTTATTTTACATTCATTCGTTTCTATCATAAGTTGCCAAGCCAATTTGAAATTTAAGTGGAAATCTATTGTTCATAACACTCGTCAAACAAGTTGGTTAAACTTCAGCAACTCTTAAAATATCATTTCGAAGAAAATTATAGATAGAAAATCTATACCATCTAATCCACAGATGCAATCAATATAGACAGAAAATCTCCACTATAAAAATGAAAGCTTATCATAGCTTTGACATTCCTCACAACAGTGTATATTTGCAGGTGGTGCACTCTTGATGGAAAACAGTATAAGAGATCAACGATAAAGCAGATACTTAAAAATTTTCAAAATTTTTTCTAAGAGACTTTTTGTTCATTGGTAAAAGCACTGAACCACCTTAACTATGATCATTGTCCAAATTCCAATATGAACATATAAGAAATACTCCATTTGTCTCAAAATGATTATACAGTTTGAATTTTTTATTTTATTACAATTTGTCCCAAAACTATCATTTCAGAAGGGAGGGATTACTTGTTTAGAGTGCAGAGTGACTTATAGCTTAGAATGTGGAGCAATTAGGGTAGTGGCTTCAAACACAGGCCGTGTAACATATCATAAGAGGCTTCCCATTTCATTGCATACCAATAGGTTTATTACATTAGTGGTTTCGGACATAAGATGTTCTCTTCTCTTTTCTTTTTAGGACATAAAATGTTCTTCCATGTTTTTGGTCTCACTAATTTATGTTAATTACTTTCCTAAACTATTAACATATTTTCAAGTCACATATCATTACTTTGCGGTGTTTCTTTTTGTATCGTTTTTAACTCTTGAGAGATTAAGATATGTAGGAGGTGAATTGTGGAACTTGAACACATGTTTGGACATACATGTCAGTAGATAAGCTGACTACTTGACTTTGTTAGCGGTTACTCTTCCATGTGGATGATCCGCTTTTAAGGTGTCAAAGGTATAAATACGATATTGTCGGTGTTTCTTATATTTACCTTAATGTTATAATTGAATTAGTCTACTGCATCCTTCTTTGTACAGGAAAACAGAATATACTGCTATAATCTGGATGAATCTATCTAATTCCTAATTTCCTATCACTCTTCTTTTAGGAAGCAGTGGTATCTGGCCCTCATAACTCACAAACTAACTCTTCCTTTCTGTTCTACAGTGTTTTACGGATATATCTCCACGTGGCCGAAAAATTGGAAATAAAACTCTATACGCGTACACATCAGCAGCCATATCGATGCAAATCGTTCGGAATACAAATAGAAAAATCTGAAAACAACGGTGAGTTCGCAGCCAATATTAAAATATAAATGAAGCGCGGGAACAATCGGAAATTGACATATATAATAATCATCTGTAGGAAGAAATGGGGAAAAATAGAAAAAACTTACCCGGCGGAGCTGCTGCAGAAGTCATAGAGCTTGCCGCTGCCGGAGAAGATGACGACGGCGACGTCGACGTCGCAGAGGACGGAGAAGTCTTTGGCCTTCTTCATCAGTCCGGTCCGGCGTTTGGAAAAGGTGACTTGGCGGCTGTTTTTGTCCTCGATTTTTTTAATCACCACCTTCCTCCGCCCCATTCCGACGAGAGAAACACTCTTAATAGATCAGGTGCTTCTTTCGCGGGCCTAGTATAGACTTATTTGGGTTGGTAAATTTTAACCGGGGGGAGTGAAAGAAAGAGTTTGGACCACGTGAACGGCGAATATGCGGCATCGCTAAAGATGGTAAAAAAAAGATTGGGAATTCATTGAGACGGCGTCGATTCGATCCGACTACAGAAATCGCAACTGAACGGACAGAAGCAAAGACGGATTTACTTTTTAGTCCCTACAGATAGATGTGCCAACCTATGTATTTGTATAAGAGCAGGTGAATTTTTGAACCGGGTGCTTTATTTATAGTCACTGATTCCGCCGGGAGGCGGTCAACTCTTTTTGTTTTTTTGTTTTTTTTTTGTTTTTTTTTTTCAAAATCATTACTCCAACTAATTCGGATCAATAGTGATTGAGTCGGAAAATTATTTAAGACTACTTTGATTTTGTTTTTCTTTTGTAATCTGTATTTATATATGCCTAACCATTTTCTCTACTCTTTCTTTCTTATACAACAAATATTAAATTGTACACTTAGGCTTCATTTGGACAAGAGTTTTAAAAAGACTTTTAAGGTTAAAAAGTCTGTTTAGAGTTTAAAATGCGTTTAAACAAAATAATTAAAGTCTTTTTAAACATAAATTTGAAAAAAAGAAGGTTTGAAACAAACTTTTTAGAAAATAGGTAGGGGGTATTTTTTAATTTTTTTGAACAGACCTTTTCTCTCAGTTCGCGGGTCGAAATTCGGGTCAAATCCGGGTTATGAAAAAACAAGTGATGCATATAAGGGAGAATTACGTCATTCGCTCACTCTTGCCCTAGATCCGCCGCCCCCTTTTCTCACTCGCTCTCCTTCAGCCGTGCGGCAACCCGGCAACGGCGAGGGCGACGGTGACGGCGGCGACTGCAAAACTCCCCCTGACGGCGACGGAGAAGTAGAAAGCGACACCTTGTGCTGGTAATCTTTCTTATTCCCGTTTTTTTTTTTTTGATTAGATTAGGTTTAACTTTCAATCACTTCTAATATTTGGATTTACACTGAAATCCTTGTTGATTTGTGTAAATTTTTTCATGGGTTTCATTTATTGTATCATATTCAAAGTGGGTTTGTTTGCAGTTGCCATGGAAACCATTTTTTCGACAGAAGTCTCAGTGGGTTTTTTTTTCCGGGTTTCTATATTTGTATTAGGATTTGTGTGGTATTTAGTGGTTTCTTCTGCTTCGAGTGATGTTTAAGAATATGGCTTCAATTGCTTCTTGAATTTCATCTTAATTTAAGTGGGTTTATGCTCTAAAGTTGGTCTGAAGTTGGTCTGAATTTCATCTTTGTGTTTCTGTTTCCCCCTGGCTTTTTTTTTCCTTCCATTTTTTGCAGATTCATAGCGTCCCAATGTTGAAAGGCAAGATAGTTTTTAGTTCAGCTTTAAGATTATCCAACTTTTCCAACTCTTGTATTTGACAATTGACATCCTCGGGATCTACCGATATCAAAGTGAGACAAGATTTGAAGATCTCTTAATTGACTTCATTTTGCAGGTAAGATGGAAGGCTCGTCAAATTTGAACAATGAGTTGATGGATTATTCGTCATCATCTGACGAAGAGGAATTGGAGGAATGGAAGTAACTATGTATAGTAAAAGCTCACAAAACAAAATTAAGCAAGACACCTTGTAGGACATCAACTTTGACCGGGTATCAGTATATGAGAGAGGTGATATTTGGACATCACGCTCGGATTGTTCAAAATTGTCGCATCACGGTTGATACTTTTTCGAGACTGTGTGATGTACTTCGAGAGGGTAATTACCTGTCAGAGCACCACCAGCGACAAGTATCCGTTGAGGAAGCTCTTGCTATGTTTTTGAATTTAATAGCAACACAAATGTGGAATGCGTGTTAGAGTTTTAAATATTATGGAATTCATATGTGTTGAATGTGTAGAATTTAAAATGTTGTGAATTTATTCCAAGTCTTATGAACTATGTGTTATTTTTTTTTTTTGAGAGTTGGATGTTTAAAAATCTCTCGATAACAATATTTCAAATTTATTATGCATTCGATAAGTTAGAATGGTCATATAATGGTTTTAAAATGAAACAAAAATGCAATAATAATATGAAAATTTGTGTAAGTATTTCCTTTTATTACAAAAAAAAAAGGTGCAATAATTATTTTTTGACAAAAAGTGTTTTTGAAAAAGGTCTAATCCAAATGATTTTTTTAATATTTTTAACTACAAAAAACTTTTTGTTAAATTTTTGTCCAAATGGATTTTTTTTTCAGAAAGTCTTTTTAAAATTTTTCTCCAAAAAGACTTATTTGAAAAGCTTTTCAAAACACTTGTCCAAATGGAGCCCTGATTTCTTGTTCAATAGGGTCTATAATCAGTCTTGTAGTCAAATTTTCGAAGATTTGGCTCATTCCAAATTCCAAACGTGATTCTCCTTAAATCTGAGGGTGCCGATGTTCCTAGAAGCTGAAAGCCACTGTCGAAAACTGTATTCACATATTGGAGATTAAAAAGAGAAAAAAAATTAAATAAGGAGAATGTTCTTAATATGCCTTATCTTTTTTCTTTTGTTTTTTTGATGTCAATTTGTGAATTGTGTTTGAAATCTAAAGAGGCACTGTTGGATTCAGCTTTTCACCTAATCACGTCATCAGGTATCCTCCTACTACATGACTCACTTTTGGAACTTCGTGTTCCAAACTTCTTGCCTTCTTGGATAAAGGGCTAGCTATTGGAGATTCCCTAAAGTTTGTGGCTACTGGCTGGCGGGGAACAAGAGTGGAAGAAGAGAAGGGGGAAGAGAAAACCATCAACTTGAAAGGATAATTTAGGATGAATAGTCATAAAGTGCTCTGAAGTTATAAATTATATTCGCAGTACCATCACTCATATTTTCATTTTTAATTCAAATTATATCAAAAGTAAAAATTCAAATTGACCAATCATGTTGGAATAAGGCACATATATACAAAAATGTATAAAATTTGAAAAAATCTCTAGCTTTATTATCTTTACATTTTTGTTTTGTTATAATTAAAAACAAAGTTTAATGAATTAAAACTAAAATATTACGTAAAGATGAACACCAATTATTTTATGTTCAACTTATAGTTTAAGGAACTCCTTCATTTTATGTTACCGAGACTAAAAAAATGAACACCAATTATTTTATGTTCAACTTATAGTTTAAGGAACTCCTTCATTTTATGTTACCGAGACTAAAAATATTTTTTCCTATGCTTTAATTCACATAATGAAGTCTCAAGGTGTCTTTTTTTTTTTTTTTGTTTATTCCGTTTTTTTCATTATTGTGTCAAATTTGTTGGGATAAGGACAAAAAGGCGTGCAAGTTGTGTCCCAAATACTAATTTTCTTTGAGATTTTTTAAAAGGACAAAACCCCACTCTTAACTATTACAAAATTAAGATCAATGGTCCCTGGGTGTAAAATGACAAAAAACCCAATGTAATTTTTACAATATTATAAAAAGAAGAATCTGGATATTAAAATCCAGAATTCAATTCATATGTCCGTGACTTCTACGTTTATCGAATGTGTAGGATAGGTGGGAGGTGGTGACAGACAACGACCAATCCTGAAAGACCACTCTTTCGTCTAAGGATGATAATCGCCGGACCGATCATTCGGGGGCGGCCAACCGTGCCATGAAGAGTTGAGCAAGAGCAATCGCAGCTTTCTCTTTGCCTTTGCAGCTTTCATGTAAATATTTTATAACATGCATATATGAAGACCTTTAAACATAGATGACGTGAAAAATACAGTAAAAATTACACTACAAAATGTTTGTAAAGTTAGGTATCTTTGAAATGAGGAACATGTATGAAAAATTAATTAGAAAATGGTTTTTCTCAGAATTAATAAATTACAAGGGCATTTATGTCATTTTTGTTTGTTATTTGTTTGCTTACATCATCAAAGTGAGCCATTTTTACATCTGTCCTGTTGTACATAGTTTGAGGCGATTTTTGTCCTTTTATAAAAATCTTGAGGGAGAGTAGTCTTTGAAGCATAAGTCGGGATTTTTTTGTCCTTATATCCTAATTATGTTTGTATTTCTGCTAACGGATCTTTACCCGGCACTAATACCTCTGGAGAAAGGTTTACAAACAGAATCAAGTTTTATGATGAGAGAATTCGAACGCGGACAACGAATTGGGAAATGCCATTTGTTGCTTACTCAACCACATTACTCAGATGTCCACTGGATCGCCTTAACGCCAATGAGTACAACTGATGGTATCAGTGGCAGAGAAAAGACAATCAACAACTCTCTGCTTTGCATGTCATATATATCACCAAAGATTTGTTTTTGTTTCCTTTTTAAGTAAATTTCATATGCATAGATATGTGTGTAACTATGTATGTATATACATATATAGTAATAGTCATAAATTTTATATTGTAGTATATGGATTTTCAGAGTCATATATATATATATATATATGTATGTGTGTGTTTCTTGATGCATGAGAATATATATATCCTATGGCTAAGGCTAATTTGGCTTTAATATTTATTTCTTAAAGCATTAAAAGTGCAGTTTTACTATATCTCAGGGAGTTAAAAAAAGTAAAACATGCTACTTACAAATTAGTACAAAATGTTATGAAATTCTTCTAATCCGTATCACTCGTGAATAGATAAAATATTTTTGAATTCTTAGGCTATAAGTGAATTCATAAGACTTTAAATGAAACTGATCAGATAAATTATGCAAAGTGAACTATGCTAGTAACTTACAAATTACTAGTTGATTAATTTGTGCCTAAACAAACTTTAAAATTGAGAAATGAAAATATTCAGTTAAAAATAAGAAAAGAAGAATTATTTAAA